CTCGGATGTGTCTGATGTTGAAATGGATTATCCTGCTGCCACATATTCAGATACTGATACAACAATATCTGAAAGATCTCATCAAGACGGTTCTAACTCTGAGGAAACAAGCGGTGATGATGAGTCAAAAACAGAATCTAGTATTGTTCGACAACGCAAAGGCAAGCGAAAAGGTGTAGTAATCAAGCAAATAAATAAAAAGGTGAAGATGTCGAAATTACTCAAAACTCTAGACAGTAGACGTCCTGTTACAAAGAAAATTATGTAAAGAGGAAGACACATGTTTCGACTTTTTATTCTCTTACATAATGAAAACTGAAATTTTTGAGACATTGGAGCAGCTTCTCGCTGACTGTGGACAAGATATCACCACAATTTTAAGTATGGAAGAGCGAGCTCTATTGGATGCAGTTATCATGACTACTAGTCTATCTGATGTCAACAAACTAATGAACGAGAACAAAAATATCGTTAGGAAGATTCATGAACTTTATAACCAAAACGTTGTTAACTATTGATAAGTATTTGGACATATATAATATATATGATATAGAGTTATTGAATATAGTTTTGTTTAAGTTATCTTCAAAAATCTAAACGTGTGTTTCCTTGTCTACATTATAACTTATTTAAATAATACATTATAATTATCATTCAGTATTCATTCATATGATATAATTTTAGAAAGTAGAAAATATCTAGACCAGTTCTTGACAAGAGATTTGTGTCAAATACATTGCACAGATGTTACTGTAACTATGCTGTACAAGGCTTATGGCTATACAATGACGTAGTATTCTTGAGCTGCTGTAGAGTAACCATCTGCATCCTGAAAGTGCTCTTTATAAATTAGATTTCATATCAAACAGTCAGTGTTACGTGACCGACTACGGTAAAAGAATTAAAAACTTAACCTTAAAGTTAAAGATAATAACAATTAAAGCTGAATCAGAGTCAAAATTTACGCAACACACCGCTGAACGCTGAATGATAGTGTAAGCAAAGTTGCAGGTGTTGTCCTGAAACGGTACACTCTGTCCCTAGTTAAATTTAGAAAGCTCATTATTCATTATCTCACTTTATCAGCACACTTTACAAATAAAAGGTCGCCGCGTGCCAGATGTTAACGCTGTTGATAGTGATACTTGGTGTTTCATTTATATCTAGAGACTATCTGAATAGAATACGAATCATCTAATTAAATAAATGTACAGCTTCATCTTCAATTACACAAGTCACGTGACTAGATAAGTCATGTGACAGGCGAAGATGATGACATGAAACCGCTGCACCAATCAAGCAGAAAAGAATGGCTTCGACTGGGATTCGAACTTGTAATCTCCGGCTAAAAAATCTGGCAGATTAGTCAACTGTGCTAAAGCTAAATGTACCCCAATTTTAGGGGTAAACGGAGCTCGAAAAAATCCTCTTACACTACTCACGTTAATCACAATATACAGTGCATGCAGCTAGCCGTAGACTCGTGTGCAGTGTTCACCTAGCTAACCATGTGCTTTCTAGATTCGCGCCACTGCGGGAGGGCTTGTTTCACAATGCATGACAATGAAGAGGCGGGCAATCGCCACTGCTAAGGCTTTGGATAAAGCAGTGGGCCTACGAGGTGCGGCAAATACTTCGGTGTAAATTACAAATAAGATAAAATTGAAAATATGCGCGGCGTACCAAAATTTTGTAGTGCAATGCAAATTACCAACTACTGTACCGGCCGCGCCGCGCATCAAATAATGTTTTACCTGAGGACCCCAGGCTATTATGTTCATTAACATAATAAAGAATTAGAATTGGCGGAATGACAGGCTGAGCGCGGCCCAGTAAATAATGTTTTGTTAAATTGCAGTGCGATGGATCATTGGACCACATCGAGCGTGCTAAATCGGAGGGACTTCGAGATTGTTCTAAAAGAGCTCCCAACAGTTGAAACCAACTTTAATATATGTATTTTGGACGCTGATTCCTAGCCATACGTTGTATGACCCTCTCATGCGCGCGCGCGGCTCCCCTGTATTGTCAGGCCACTCCACCATAATGAAACGACCGTTGCTTTATCCAGAGCCCTTGCAGTAGCGCGCGCCCGCCTCACAACAAGCACTTGGTTAGGTGGAAAACGACCGTGGGGGTCACGACGTGATACAACTGATTTCGCAAATTTCACCCCCCTCTCATTTAGAGAGGAAAATTTTTCCTTTCTAAATGACTTAAAATTCCATGAGTGTCCAATGTTTTGAATCCAAAATATTACCGAGTGTCTAATCAACTACTTTGAACCTTCTTTATTGATATCCTATTGGTTTAACATATAATCCAGTTAAAATTCTCCGAGGGCTGCGCCCCCGACCTTTGCCGCAGTAGCCTCGGAGCCCACCCCTTTTCAAAATTGGGAAACGCGGAAAGTAACTTAGTTAATTGACGATGTCAATTCATGGCAGCTCGGCGTGGCACAGTAGCGCATTTCGCCGATCTAGCCAGTGTCGCTGTGAGAAGCCTTATTAAGTGCGCGGCGCGGCACAGTAACGCAACGCGCTACAAGTAACTTAGCCGCTGCTTAACGGGTGATACTCGTAAAATATCTGTTCCATCGACGAGTTCAACTCGGTGCGCGTCCTGGTAGTGGGTAGGTTGTAAACCTACAAAGCCGCTGCGAGCGAAGCGAGCGGGCCACAGAAGGGTCCGAAAATGGGTTTAGGAGGAAATTTTTAATTATGTGGATATTGGGACATCATGTGATATGATTACTGGGCGGCGCTCAGCCTGTCATTCCGCCGAATCATGTTTATGAACATAATAGCCTGGGGTCCCCAGGTACGTAAGTGATATGACCGTATAAGGGGGTTAGTCGAATTTCTCGTTAGGGTTAGGGTTTCAGCATATTGGGTTAGGGTTAGGACTTAGGCCAGGGTTGTGATCAGATTAGAGGGTCAGGGTTTTTATTTGAATAATCGTTCAGGGCCAGCTAGAGAACGGGTTGAAGAAGTCACGTAACGTGACAGTCGAGTGTAGATCTTAACGGGTGATACTCGTATAAGATCTGTTCCATATATTGGACCATATATTAGGACCGTCGACGAGTCCAACTCGGCGCGCGTCCTGGTAGGTTGTAAACCTACAAGTGTAGATCGAGTGATTAATTATACGGTCATATTTGATATTATCACGTGATCGAGACAGATTTTCGCCAATTTCTCACCAGGGGAGCATTTCAATCCTATGTCATATGTCATGGGGGTGATTCGGAATCAGCGTCCAAAAATACATCGACTCAAGTTGGTTTCAACTGTCGGGGGGGGGGGGGGGGGGGCTTTTAAAACAATCTCGAAGATCGACTGAAGAGTTATTTTAAGACTCAAGAGTGATTTAGCACGCTCGTTAAACAAGACTGAAGACGAGCGCCGAGTTGGATTGTCGACGGTCTTGATAATATGAATATTTTAACACCCGGCCGTTAACCCGTTTTTTTAATGGAGTGTAGCTCCAAGCTCTTTTACTTTTAGTACTGATACTTTATCAATCTGATAAGCAATAAGAGGGTTATGAAACATAACAGTGTCAAGTGTACCTTCCAGAATCCAGACGCCAGTTAATATTTACTTATAAGTAACTTAATCAAAATTTAGATGGAACTTTGACTGTTGAGAAGACGATAAAACTCTATTTTTTATTTCATATTTGTGTGGATCAAAACACAAATGAGATTATAATTTGCAAATGCTTCCAGTTCCACGCCACCCAATTGATGTTTTTTTCGTATTTGAATCAGAACACAATAAAAAGACGACGATTAGGGGAACGATTTAAGGGAGCGAAATTAGGATGATTTTCAGAATTTTGGAATAGTTTTGTGGGAAACAAACGGAAAGTGAAATTATTAAAATTGTAACCAATAATGTGGCGTCAGATATGCCTAATGAAATATAAATGACGTTACTGGCTAAAATTTTAAAATGGAAAATCAATAACAAGTTAGATAAACAAATAAAATCTTTGAAAACCCAGACATGATTTTTCGGAGAAGAAAAATCACAGAAAAATAATTTGAACGAAAATTTAAATTTTACAAGAGTTTTTTACAACTGCGTACAATTAAAGAAATAAGTGTCAAATCGTTTACGTTTTGAGATCGAGAATTGACAAGATCCTCTTTTGTACCAAGCAGTGAGTTCACGACGAAAAATCCGTATCAAAATAAATCTTAAATAAAAAATAAACTTATCATAAATCGTATAAAATATAAACTTTTTTTGGAATTTAAATACAAATACAAATAAATCATAGTATAAATAATTTGAGTTTTAATCTTAATACTTAACAAATAACTTAAACAATTGAGATTGAGTCCGGCAACGGAAAACAGTAAAACAGTCTTTTAACAAACACGCCACCCAATTAAGAGTGACCGTTTTACAGTCTTTACACCATGTTAAACCCAGTTGACATTCCTAGAACCAGTCTGGAAACGTCTGATGACATCACGAATGACGTCACACTTATGACTGAGCTGACAGGTTTACGAGCACGACATCGTCGGTGTCCAACTTGAGTCCAGATTTGTCTGATTTGACGTTCTGGGCAAGATCGCGCAGCACAACAGCCCTGTAAAAAGTAAAACGTAAATATATTTAAAAAACTGTACGATTATAATAAATGTTCAATTAAGTTAAAACTGTACTACCATAAATGTTAAATAAATATAAACATTAAATTACCTCATCTTGTTCTTCCTCTTGACACCAGTGATCAGAGGTTTGTGGAGAGAACTGTCGTTCTGATCGATACCTTTAGCCTTATCAGCGGCAGATCGTCTTGCGGATTTGTTCATTCGACCCATTTTGCTTAACTTAAATCTACAAAATAGTCAGGTTAATATTGTTGGGTTTGTGTTAAGATTGATTGGGGTAAAGGGGAATGTTATATAAAATAATTATCAGTTGAACTTTTAATGGATTCACAAAAATGTGGTAGTAGTAAGCAGTGAAACAAATGAATAACTTAACTGATATAGTGGCTAATACATGATTAATATAAGATACAAGGAGATGGATTATTTCGATTGGCAAAAAATAAAGTGCTGGTTAAAAATGTTTCGTGTGACAATGACATTATGAGCTCAAATGTTACCTTAAATGATTGATACTGTCCAATTGCGATACATGAAAAACACGGACGATTGATACAATTTGGTTCCAAATATTCCTTTAAGATCTAAATTGAATACCAAAGTCTATGACCGAAGATATTAAAAGCGTAAGACTGAAAGCTTCGAAAATTTAAGTACGCATTATATAAAGTGCCAGAAATAAGGATTTTGAACGAAGTAGCAACTTCAAAATCGAACACGGATAACAGATATCAAGAAAAAGGAAAATCGACGATAACATATTATTACGTTGGTCACCAGCGGATATACTACACTTAAGTTAATTATGTAATAACAAAGATCTTGCTTAAATATCCCAAGCTAATCCGAGAATAAACAAGAAATTTACAATGCAGCTTCCAAGCCTCAAAAACTCAACATTAAACAAGTTAGAAGCTTCGAATTAAATTCTGAAATCATTATGTTTATAACTCACTTTGCGAATACATGAAGTCAAAACCCTGAAGAATATACGAAATTTGCTTTTCGGAGTACAGTAATTAGCTAAACAAGTGTAATTAGCGATTAAGTGGTTTATTCTTACTCCCACAATCCTCACATTAACGTTGCAGTTCTTATCTCTAGTATAACGTCATTAAAAAGTCACACGACGTCATCACGTAATATTTTGTGACGTAGTTCAAACAACCAACCACGTGACGTCATAACCTTTTCCATTTATTCTTCACTTCTCAATGGTTACGATGGTTTTCTACGTCGCCCTGAAAGAACATCATTATAAACAACTGCACTGAGAACATTAAGTGAAGTGAAGCTTAATAAGGTGTACATCGAGTTAGGTTGACAGGTTGTAAGGCGGACGCCACCTAAGTGTGGGATCTAGGTCACGTGACACATTATTTTAGGTCACGCGACACATTATATCTGACAGATATGACAAAAAATGTGCGCCTGACACCCAACTAACTGTCTGAAAATTATGATAATTCCGTAAAGAGCGGGCGTGTCTCTATTTCACAGGTGACACACGGAGTCTGGACGTAGATATGACGTCACAACCACGTGATATAATAACGTCATGTATTGACACGTGATGTTTGTGCTAAATTATACTAACATGGAGGAGAGGAGATCCAGGACCCCAAGTTTTAGCTCTGACATCGTCGTCAACAATCAGTGGACTTGGTCGGAGAGTGTCCATTCTATCTTGCTTTGGGGCTTTCAGCATGGTGGGCTTCTGCATTTCTGAAATTTAATGCCACGTAAATTAAAGATTGATAAGTGAAAAACGGGGTTATCTTGCCTAGTACATGTTTGCTTGTTTTAAGCTGAGATGCTCGGAGCAATAAAAAATGAGTCTCTCATTAAAACTGAGTTATTAATTGAGTAATTACCTGACTAATCAACTGATTAATAAAATGAGTAATATATTGAGTAATAAACTGAGTAATGCTTACCTCTGTCATAGTGATCCATGTCATCCGGTTCCTGCTTTGTAACGACACGGTAATGGTTAGGGTTCAACGACTGCATTCCATAGGGGTCCGCCTGAAAATGAAGAATTTTAACCTTCCTCCAAAACCAAAGAAGACTCTGTTAAGGATATCATGGAATTTATATTTAGATTTAATAAGTCAATTTCAATTTAAATATTTTGTTCATGGTCACGTATTGAGATTAAATTTATAAAGCAATACAAGGGATTATTTTAATTTTTGCAGTTATAGGTTAACATACGTTTTAATCAAATTTAAAAACAGATTTATATATTTTATGGGGGGGGGGGGGGGGGGGGGGGGGGTCAAGGGTAGAGGGGAAGAACGAAGAGGTGTAACCGTAGTTTCAGATTTTCTGGTTTGTCCCTCAAGTAAAGTGGCTATTGAGGGCTTGGAATGACGATGGGATTGAAGGTAAATCCAGAAATATTGAGAATCTTCCAACTAACCTGAGTAGCGTGGAGGATGAGAGCGAATAAGAGAGATCATGTTTGATTACAATTTCAGTGCTGAGATACACTCAGGGACTGGGTGATGCCATGATCAAGTAAAACGAATGGTTGAAGAAGTACGTTCAGACTTCAAACGCAAAATCCCCGAGAAAGCATCACCGCGGAGGAGCAGTGTTAGCGTGAAACAGAACATCTCAATCTCTCTTAGAACGGAGAGAGCTGACAAACCAAACTAGACAAGGGAGAGAACTGAGGTGTCCAACTCTCGTTCTCCGCTTACAACTTGCTGACAGGTCGGTCCGAGGCAGGTAAAACGTGTCAGCACTTTCGTTGGGTTGTGTTGTCACGTGACTGACTTCGTCGTGTCACGTGATCTCCGACTGAAAACACGTGATCTGTTGCGGCGCGCGCACGTGGTCCTGTGCCGTGGTGGTACGTGGCACTCGTGGTTCTGATCCCTTCATCAGGTGACTAAATAACTCTACTTTATCATCACAAAATCAGGTAGCCTCGCATTTTCGTAAGAGTTCTGCTGCCGTGAATGGTCGCGTGGTTTCCTTCTCTAAGGGTTGGAAACACGCGCACCAACTGAGACAGTTCGTCACATGATGACGTCACGTGGTGCCACCACACCAGTTAGTGTAGCTCAAACACCCTAACAGTACAATTAGGTTTCAAGAAGTGTCACGTGCTTGCCGGTTAGTGTTACGTCGTTTTAAGTTTTCCATAAACTTATCACTCCATGACAATACAGTCAGGGCAAGTTAGGGCGAGATAAAATTGTCGATACTCCGAAAGAAACGTATTGGAGTATTAAGTTGGTGTTTGTCACGGACGGGTTCATACTATGTATGTGTCGGAGTTGTCTACATCCTGCAACAAGTTTTGATGCAACTGTTGAGTCCGGACTCTAGCCACAACATGAGTCCGGACTCTAGCCACAACATTTTCGTCAGAGATTAGAGATGAGATATTGACGAATGTAACTAATAATGAACCACCAACATATCCATATATTTCCGTGTCAATTCAAATATTTCAGCCGACAAGTACAACGTACGAGCCTCACGCCAAGATATGGTCACATCATACGTTGGACAATAGTTCCTGGTCAGAAATTCCGGAATAAAAACTGTAAGGTAAGGAACCTGACTATAGATCCGGTAGGGTATAACGTTTCCTGCTTGACTATCCTCAGCACAGTTACTTTCATGTTATTATATCACCAAGGAAATGGTAAGTACTAATTTATTCATGTCATCTCATCATTTGAATCACTATTGGTCGGTATCACACGGCAAAGAGAAATGAAGAACTTAGTTGGTATCAACAAAAATAGGTTGAGTCACTACAATACCTTATACTTCTACTAGCACTATGTACTATTATAAACACTTGCACTATAATATTGTAGATGTGTTTATCAACATTATCATACCACATTTGTGTCATGACATCATGAACTCCAAGAATCATAATATCCTATCTTAGTACATCTTAGTACTTGAACCTACCCTATTTCCAACCATTATTGATGTACCATCAAGCAAAATAACGCCAACTTTGACGTTGAGAAGCTAGTGACCAAGATTGCACTGTAACCCAAAACCCCACGTTCGCGTTATTTTTCTCGAGAATGTTGGAAATTGCAACAATTTCTTTCTCATCACTCATGCCTATTGCCTATTTTTTAAATCGTATCATAGCGAGTTCGTGGTTTTGCCGCATGGTTTTCTCGACAAAATAGTTTCTGTGCTAGATAACAAGCTTAGCTTATTAAGTTAACGAAACATACTTTGATACCAACTTGTAACTTATAAAACTTGATACTCTGCCTCAATGAAAGTCAAAAGATAAGTTGAGATACTAATACTTTCTCGGTCGTCAAATCAGATTTACAGGTGGATAAGCACTTGACCAATGGGCAAGTAGATAATCTTACTGACAGTGTTATCAACAAGTCTTATCAGTCGTATCATGGGACATTAGAAATCACATTTACTGTATGGTTGCTTTATAACCTTGGGTCAGGTCACTTTCATGTCATTTTAAACCGTTTGTAAGAAAAATTGAGTATCTCTTAATTTTGTTGTCAGTCTCTCCGAACTAACTCTTTTTTTGTGAACTAGATTTATTTCATAATTCGATTTTTCACCTACTTTTTATATTCAAGCTGTTTTTGCAAGAAAATAACAACAAATTTGGTAGAAATGCTGGTTTTTCTCCTTCTGTCCCTCGTATCGCTGACTGTCAGCTATGAAGTATCACTGGAACACTTCCAACAGTGGGCCTTCGACCACGGCAAGACATACGAGGTAAGTTAATATTTAATTAAAATTATATTCATTACAGCAAACTAGTTTCAGGAATTAAATAATGTTTGGAGGTAAAGCTAAATCTACAGGGTATAGCCAGAATTAGATACATGTTTATTGTCTAGCTTTGAAGGTTTTGCAAGATTTGTGGACCAGCACAGGTCGGTATCGCACGGCAAAGAGAAATTAAGAACTTAGTTGGTATCAACAAAAATAGGTTGAGTCACTACAATACCTTATACTTCTACTAGCACTATGTACTATTATCAACACTTGCACTATAATATTGTATTGTAGATGTGTTTATCAACATTATCATACAACATTGGTGTCAAGACATCATGAACACCAAGCATCATATCCTAGATTAAAGGTGAATAATGAATATTCTGTCAAAGTCAGAACTCAGAAGTCAGAACTACATATTATTATTATTATATCCAAGCAATAAATGCTACAAAATATCCTGTAAATTATTATTCATAAAATGTAGCTTGAAGTGGCTTCTTTCCTATCACAAGATAAAGATAGCGAAGAGCCCACAGAATATTTGATACCACATTTTTTACATCTTAATACCTGAACGTACCTTATTTTCAACCATCATTGATGTACCATCAAGCAAAATAACGCCAACTTTGACGTTGAGAAGCTAGTGGCCAAGATTGCATTGTAACCCAAAATCAGATTTAATGGTAGATTATCTTACTGACAAAGTGTTATCAACAAGTCTTATCAGTCGTATCATGGGACATTAGAAATCACATTTACTGTTTGGTTGCTTTAGAACCTTGTGGGTCAGGTCACTTTCATGTCATTTTTTTACCGTTTGTAATAAAAATCGAGTGTCTCTTGAATTCGTTGATAGGTCTCTCCGAACTCTTTTTTGTGAACTAGATTTATTTCATAATTCGATCTTTCGCCCTTTTTTTAAATATTCAAGCTGTTTTTGCAAGAAAATAATAACAAATTTAGTAGAAATGCTGGTTTTTCTCCTTCTGTCCCTCGTATCGCTGACTGTCAGCTATGAAGTATCACTGGAACACTTCCAACAGTGGGCCTTCGACCACGGCAAGACATACGAGGTAAGTTAATATTTAATTAAAATTATATTCATTACAGCAAACTAGTTTCAGGAATTAAATAATGTTCGGAGGTAAAGCTAAATATACAGTGTATAGCCAGAATTAGATACATCAACAATCAACATTTCTAGCTTTGAAGGTTTTGGAAGATTTGTGAACCAGCACTAAATGTATCGAATCACCTCCCTGACAATGGAAAAGGAAAATATAGGGAAATTTGGTCCGCCCAGCACTAATTTTAAGTTTTAAAAACTTAAGACTGATGTCCTAAATAATTGACTTGTCATCTTACTAGTTAATCTTAAAGACATGCACTGTGTAACTACTCATCTGTGCTACGGTTGCAATTAATCATAGGACAATCTTTACACTTGAACCATATTTTAAGGCCGCAATAATTTAAAGTGACGTCAATATGACGTCAGCATTATCCTGCAGATATTATTAAATAGGTACAGCTAAAAATTTAATTATAATTAATCATAATTAATTATCCTACAGAGTGGAACAGTGCGTGCCATGAGAACGATGATTTGGCTGGACAATGCTGCGTTTGTGAAACAGAAGAACGCCGAAAACAACGGAGCAACCTTCAAACTCAATCAATACGCTGACATGGTGATTTACTCGAATACATTAAAGAAGTTGTTTAGTAACGTCCATCTTTTAACAAGCTAACTGATCTAATTACCGATTAAGAAATTAGTTAATTAACCAACTTTTCCATCAGACTCACGAGGAGTACAAGGCAATGTTGTCCCCTGTCACTGATGATGCTATCACTAGGGCTACTAAAGACATGATCGCTGTAAGTTGGCTTTCAACCAACTCGGATAACATTGGTTCCACCTAGCAGACAGACTAAATCCCATTTTCTATATTGAACAAGTCCGAGGCCTAGAACTCTTGAAAAATATGCGAAAATTATTCCTTGGCTTGCTTAGCGTGCCTTTGATTCAATATTTGATGCATTTTCTTGAATAGATTAAAAGAATACAATCGAATAAATAAACAAATTTCTCCCAGCTCGCCCTGCCACCCTGGGTTAACATCCCCAAAACCATGGACTGGAGGGACCAGAAAGCTGTGACACCTGTTAAAAACCAGGGGTCCTGTGGATCTTGTTACTCCTTCAGCACCACTGGGGCTCTGGAGGGAGCCTGTGCTATCAAGACTGGAACACTCAAGTCCTTCTCCGAGCAGCAGATCATGGATTGCAGGTCGGGCAGTGATTTTATAACTCATTATATTATGTTGATAGTAGGTACTGCGGCCTAGGTGTCATATCAAGAAGTTTGATGACAGCTAAGTTATTCTACATTTTCAGTTGGAACTATGGAAACAACGGATGCAATGGTGGTATGTTTGACAGAGCCTTCTATTACATCATGGAACAAGGAGGTATCGACAGCGAAGCAGCATACCCTTACACCATGAAGGAATCCGACAAGTGCAAGTGATACAACCTTCTAATTAATTTATATCAATTGATTCTAATAAGGTTTAACTACATATTAACCATCACATCGCTCAAACCAATTAATTTATGTATCTCACAGACAGCTAAAATTAGTAACGAAATAATTCAACAAGCTAACAAATGCTCCTCCTTCAGATACGATGCCAAATCTAAAGCAGGTCAGGTCACCAACTACTACTACGTAAAGCAGGAGGATGAGGATGCACTGACTGCTGTACTGGCGCTCAAGGGACCCGTGGCTATTGCTATCAACGCTGGACAGAGGGACTTCCAGTTTTACAACTGTGAGTCAAAGTTATATTTTTGTATAGGATGCAAATCCAGGGAGTGGTAGGAGGGGGAGGCCGGAGGGGGTTGACTATGCCAATTTCGAGCTGATCGCAGAGTATAGATTTCACGACTAAATTAAGCTAAGAAACCTTTTTATATTGACACAACATGCTCATATATCACCTGACAGTATAACCATTAGTTCGCTAAACCAACCACTTTACCAAGCTCATCGTAATATGAACCATTTCAACACTCATGTTAATAGCTCAACTATTTTAAATATGTTAAACCACGCCCCTTTTAAGCTGGAGTATATGATAACCCTGCTTGCGACGCCTCCCTGAACCACGGTGTCCTGGCTATTGGATACGGAACTGATACCGACTCAGGTAAGACGTTGTTGAAGAGTTTTTTCTATTTTTCTACAGCTTCATTTAATTTTCAGGGTAAAAAATGTAAGACTTATTCATTTAAAACAAAAAACTTTCCAGGAAAAGACTACTTCCTGGTGAAGAACTCCTGGGGTACCCAGTGGGGTCTGGATGGATACATCAAGATGAGACGAAACAAAGACAACCAGTGCGGTATCGCTACTTACCCCAGCATTCCCGAATGTTAAACACAAGGATTTATTTTAAAACAGATCTTAAAATACAGGGGATGTTTTGACAGGGTTGTGTCGTTCAGAGGAGATAGGTTTTATTGAACGTTTTTGTTTTCTTTTTTTGGATTTTCTATAAGTTTGTATACTGTTCTTATTACTGTAACTTTTTGTATTATGTAACCTTAGTATTATGTTTTCTAAATACAATGTTTCCAATTTGACTACATCCCCAATGAACTCAATGGATATGATCGTAAATAATATAGTTCACATGAAATAGATAGCAAATATGAACGTTGCCACTATTATAACAGCGATCCCACTTTCGAGTCGCTCTATGGTATCTAGTTACTACAGTTTACACGTTTCTGTTGAGTTACTAAGGAGTTACTAAGGAGTTACTAAGTAGGGCGCTCTTCTTTAATAGACGAAAGATCATCCGAAGCTCTTTACTCAATATACTGCTGACAGGATCAGTAATTATAACATATGGCCCTTGCAACTTACCGCAGAACTGCGGAAGATTTATACTGAAACTACTGGCTAACTACTGGCAAACAACTGGCTAACACCCATGTCTAATATTTAGAATAATTTCTGAAATACCCAATATTTCACGGCGACCGGACAACAGAATGAGACTGAACTTGTCTTCAGTCTCTAAGTCTGGAGCAATTCTGTAGTGGGCAGGTCTAAGCAGGACCAAACCCACAGTTGCTCGTTTTCAGATGCCAGTCAGTCAATTTCGGGCAGAGCACAGTAAAACCAGATCTGTCAACAACTGTAGGTCACGTGATATAATTGCACTGTCACGTGACCTCATAACGAGTTCACGTGATCTGAGAGTTGAGTCTCGTCACGTGACTCACCTGGCGCTTCATGTGACAGCTGAAAGTTAAACGTCACGTGCTACGACACCGAACCACTACTGGGTGCAAAGAACAAAATTGTTAGATCTCGAGAGTTGGTTTCGACCGTCGACGAGTAAATTAGACACTTGTACAAACTTGTACAATCAGTATAACTCCAAGTTGAAGGGTGTAAACTCCAAAAGTGGACATGCAAAGAAGAGCTGTCAGTTCCTCCCTTGTTAGGAGGGAAGCGTTTCATCTGTGGTAGACAGGTCAGGTGATAGCGTGAAGATGGAGCAGGGATAGGATGAAGTGTGGGAGAAATACGTGGGAAATAAGTTCGATGAAGAACCAAGGGGGAATAAATGGGAATATATAATCTAAATACATTCTGTTACATTAGTTTTGCAGTTTGGTATGGGAGTAACTAAAAATGTAAACCCCACCCTCCTCCCCCGCCCTTTGGGTGTTTTAAAAACCTTTTGTACCTTGTGCATGGTCCTAATGCTGGGGAGGCTATCGTCAATGTGGTGCATTCTCCTTAGATGAGTCTTCAGGTGGTTACTCTGGATGAACCTTCTACCGCACAGAGAGCATTGGTACCGTTTGTCACCTGATAAGAGAGGATTTATTTGATTAGTTAATTATAACAGTTAATTTATTTATTGTTTTATAAGTTGTCTTTGATAAGGCTATTATTCGGTCTCATATGTGAAAATTACAACGACGAAACTTAAAACTTTATGGAAATACTAAAAGTTCTTGAGCCCCAACTGTCAGATGTCAGTGAATTGGTGCTAAATCTAGCCCCACCCGTAGTGAAAAAGTATAATTTTCAAATAGTTCTAGACTTTATTTCAGTTAAACAGTTCCAAGCTTTCATCGTGTGCAGTTGTTTGCAGGGATTATGCACATTGCACAATTTCAAGACTGTAAATTTGAAAACGTAGGAAAAGAGTTCATTTTTCTTATTTCAGTAAAATCTCGGTTTACTGAGAAAGGAAAGAGCCGCCTTAAATCGGGGGTTTGATTGTTTAAATTATGTATGTTCAAGGGCCCTATTTGGGGGAAGGAAATGGCTGCAGTAAATCGGGGTTTTACTGTCTCTTTATTCAAATATCCGATCTAGAAATCAACACTGACGCGATGAACAATATGTTCAACCTGCAAAGCAACAAATTCTTATTACTTCCGGCCCGGATGCTGCTTGACTTAATGAGGGCGAATGACGAATTATTGGGCGTTAAAGTTCTTGAGAAATTGATACTTCAATTTCTTTTAAAACGTTTAAGAGCATTGGTCTAATTTTACGTATTTTTACTTAGAAACCGTTTTCTGAACTTTAGGTTAGACTGACAGTGATTCAACACTTCTTAATTGAAAATTCCAGACCCCAAAAACTGAAAAAATGCTGCCCTACTCCCTCTAATAAATCTAGTCCACAAATAGATACAGCAAGGTAAGGAAGGTAGCAGTGTTACACAGTGGGCTGTGAGTGGGGGTCATGCTAGCATAGGGTATTTTAGACCATCACACATGCCCCTAACTTTGTTTCTAAGGTAATTTGGGTACAAAAATACGATTCCAATCATTTACAGGGCCGAAAATGTCTCAGAAAAAATTTTTGGGCCGATTTTGAGCAATCTTGTAGTCCAAAAATAGGAGGCTGATCCCAGGAAAAGTTGTTTTTTTAGAGGTTTAATCAATTTTAAAGCTCTTTTATGAACTGTAAACGAAGGACAGCTATCTTAGGAACTCTAATCTTTTTGAATTATGAAAAAATATTGATCAGAACAAAAGTTGTGCCCATTTATATGACCAAAATTTTCTGAAACACCAAAATTGTTCCTGGTATTTTCAAAAATTAAGTTTAAAATCACGATTTTTTGGATTTTTATCAATTTTAACTATAATAATTGTGATATTTTGATTTTTCATCCATATGCATCTGGTCTAGGATGCAAAAAATGCCACAAACATGGAGAATAACTAAAATATGTCAATTTAATAGCAAAATTGAGCTCATAAATTATCTAAAAATGCAGCAAATTTTACCCAATTTTTGAGTTTCTTAATTTTGTAAACAGAGTTGCCCAAAGTTGCCCAAAGTGATTCTTATTGCATCTGATAGGGAATTGTCTAAGCTTTCTGATGATACCATGCATTATACCGAACTATTGCAAACCAACAACGATCTCTGTCGTTAAATACCCCAAAAATTGCCTAAAATACGCGCCATAAAAAAGGCGCGGTCAAAAATCAGGTGAAAATGTTAAAGTCACACAGTTTTTTTTAGATGGCTGAGTATTCTTAAGTACTATACTATATTTCAATTATTGAAAACTGCCTTGATCAGGCATTTTAGCCCATAATAATAAATATTAGGCAATTTTTGGCTAAAAAAGGCAAAATTTCTTGACAGTGAAAAATGCTATTTTTTCACGCGACGCCATTTTGGCATCTTGCAAAGTTTTTAATTACGGTATCTTGCATGAAATCGGGCTAGCGTTTTACAATAAGGAAAGCTTATTTTCAAAGAAATTTAAGAAAGTCGATTTTAGGCCTATGCTAGCATGGTAGCCCACTGTGTGTTATAATATAGTAACTATACGCTGTGTATAATGATATCCACACTGACATACCTGTATGTATACGCTGGTGTATACGGAGTGTAGAGGATTGGGAGAATGCTTTAGAGCACACATCACATTGGAAGGGACGTTCACCCGTGTGGACACGCTCGTGAGCCTGGGTTAATTGGTTAATTAGCTAATTGGTCAATTCGCTAATCAATTTAAATTCATTGTTGGGTGAATAAGTTGTATCGTTTGTTCTAAGCAAGAATTAGTTTTGACCATGAAATCAAAATTAATAAAAGGGATATGTCAAATTAATTAAATCTCACATGAAGATTGCCAGAGCCGCTGAAGGCTCGGTCACAGTAACGGCAGCGGTAAGGGCGCTCGTCCGTGTGGAGACGCTCGTGGGTACGGAGGTTACTGCTGTTCCTAAACGCTCTGTCACAGTAGGTACACTTGTAGGGTCGCTCTCCTGATAAAATAGGCGGAGTTGGGGCATGTAGTTAATATTTATTTTAAATAAATTAAGTGTCATCAAACAAATGATACGACGTATTCCAGGGTGATCTGCTGAAGACTCAACTAGTTTCGGCCTTTCTTTTAAATAAATTAATAACTAAACCAGTTCTAAATACTAAAAAACCGGCTTCAAAGACATTGCTTTACTGGTCACGTGTGGCCACAGTACCAAATATGCAAGCAAAACATTCCGGGTCCTTATCCTGACATGTTTTCCTGTTTGATAATTTGAGTCCCGGCTATAATTTGGGTATCAGTCCTTGGTATGGTACCAGAATCACTGACTAAATAGTCTGTCAATCAACATAGCACGTTACAAACCAATAAAAAAGTGAGGAATTCCAAGAATTCTCTCTAACTCATCAAATGAAATACTAAATAACCTGTATGGGACCGCTCGTGAATAGTAAGATGGTTGCCAAATCTGAAGGCTTTACCGCAAAACCTGCACTCGAACGGCTTTTCTCCCGTGTGTATGCGAGTGTGAGCCTGAAATTATAGTCAGTAAGATTGATAATGACATTCACAATTTTAGCTGCAGTCCTGGACGCATTAGTAGTTAACGAGTAACTATAGTTAACTAAAACCGCTAGAATACGTTTGGGAGGAAAAATTACAAGTTTAGTTTCGCACTTCCTTAGATCAAACATGAGAATAAACCGTGGAGTCACATCTTATTAGAAAGAGAAATTATAATGATCAAGATTGGAGATTGGTTTTGTTAGGTCTTTAGATTCAGATGGTTTTAAATCAAAATTCGACCGAATTTGAGGGACGATAGTCACACAGTGTGACGACTGACGACCAGCATATAGTTTGGCGGGAGATGCATATAATCTATTGGCATAAGGAAGTGTTTGGCCATATATGGAATAATGCGCGCGCTCACTACTTGGGCGCTGCGAGCGATGCTGTACTTTACATTGCTGACAATGATGTGATTTTCGTTAGAGCAGAAGTTGTAAGCATTAGAATTCGCGCGCGAAGCGCCCGCGCAAAATTATGAATCTTTACACTGTTACCAGGCGCTTGTCGGTAGACTAACATGCAAATAAATTATGCAAAATCATGCACGATAACCCAAATACATGAGAACTATCTGAAGAATGGACTCAAACTGGAAACGGAACCGAAAAACCCAAGGAAAATGTTCAACGGCAGATATTTTTATATAGTTGATCAAGTTGGAAAAGGAGGCATTTGGATGTACTCTACATTTAGAGTATACGCGTAAAGCTTGACATCGTTAACACTGCTAAAGTATGCCGGGAGGGAAATTTGAAATATGAGTTTGTTTTTGCGAGTACTTACTTTCATGTTATTGGACCTTCCAAACTCTTTTCCGCAGTGTTTACATTTGTACGGTTTGATTCCGTTGTGGGTCCGAATATGGGAACAAAGGTTTGAGGAATGTGAGAAAGCCATGTCACACTCTGTGCATCGATACGGTTTTTCTCCTGAAAATTTCGGCGGTATAATATCAAGACGTACCTCTTGGGAAAACCAATTGTAGATAATTGCATCAATAAAAAAATCTTTCTGCGGAAATTGCTGTCCTGACTTAATGAAAATCAAGCCACTAATCTTCGTGATATGGAGCACTTATTACGAAATCAAGATAATCTTGATTTCTTAAAAAGTAATGATCCAAATTAAAGAATCAAGATGTTTGACATACCAGTATGGGTACGGAGATGAATCTGGAGATGATATTTGTTGGGGAAGGCTCGAGGACAGAATTCACACTGCCACGGTCTGGGAACTTGGTCCAATTCTTCTGGTGTTTTCTGAATAGTAAGGTTATGAGGACAGGTTTTTATAAAATACCCAGCTTCTTCTGCTGTTTTTAAAATGTACGTGTAACATTTTTTCAGACTTTTATTCAGTTATAAATGCGCGAAAAACAATCTTAACTTAAAGCAAATATTCACAAGAGGTCAAAGAATATCAACCTCAATTCATAAAATAAAAGTACTCCAAGCATGTAAAATAGCTCAAAGCATATCGATTTAATTCGTGAACGTAAGATATATCAAGTATGTGGACAAGCTGGTGGTCGAACTTACCCTGACGTATTTGCCCCGTCGTCGAGGCATTCTGGGATCTTGCTCATCGTCACCACTATAATCATCGTCCTCTCCCTCTCCTAAAAGGTGCAATCATGATAATTATTCCGGAATAATTTGGGGCTTACATTTTCTAATTTATCTGTCGGAAATAGTCACATGCCAAAAAAAATGTATTATAGACCATGACAATTCGACTTCTAAGTAAATTCTATATTATCAGAGAACATTACGTGAATACCAAGTTATCCACGCCTAGACTCCAGAAGCATGTCAATGTAATGATAACAATACCTTTGTCATGGTCGAGCATGTTCATGGCGTCTTCAGTAATCAGTCTTCCCTGGAGTCGCTCCAAATCATCAGCGTGCTCATCATCCTGGTAACCTATCTGGTTATAGTTCTCAACATCTCTCCTGAGTTGATAAAATCGTGAGGTTACCAAGTTGTGAGGTTAACAAGTTGTGAGGTTACCAAGTTGTGAGGTTACCAAGTTGAAGGTTACCAAGTTGTGAGGTTACCAAGTTGTGAGGTTACCAAGTTGTGAGGTTACCAAGTTGTGAGGTTACCAAGTTGTGAGGTTACCAAATTGTGAGGTTACCAAGTTGTGAGGTCACCAAGTTGTGAGGTTACCAAGTTGTGAGGTTACCAAATTGTGAGGTTACCAAGTCGTGAGGTTACCAAGTTGTGAGGTTACCAAGTTGTGAGGTTACCAAGTTGTGAGGTTACCAAGTTGTGATGTTACCAAGTTGTGAGGTTACCAAGTTGTGAGGTTACCAAGTTGTGAGGTTACCAAGTTGTGTTACCAAACTTGTAACCATGGTTATTATTTGTAACTGCTATGGTTACTTACTGTTGCATCGGTTGCGAGCCCTGCTCGTCATAGCCACCACGGCCACCACGTCTTGACGCTTCATCCCTTCCGCTAAACTGTGTTCTGTTCGACATCATCATCTGCTCTGAGCTTATAATACGACCATCGTACCGCTCAACCTGTGAGTTCTAGATAACGGTTTTAAAACCTGTTGTAACTTGTTTGATAGCGCGGTAACCGAGTTGGTAACCTGGTAACCAAGTTGGTGACCAAGTTGGTAACCTGGTAACAGAGTTGGTAACCTGGTGACCAAGTTGGTAACTTAGTGACAAGTTGGTAACTTAGTGACCAAGTTGGTAACTTAGTGACCAAGTTGGTAACCTGGTAACCAAGCTGTTAACCTGGTAACCAAGTTGTTAACCTGGTTACCAAGTTGGTAACCTGGTAACCAAGTTGGTAACCTGGTAACCAAGTTGATAACCTGGTGACCAAGTTGGTTACCTGGAAACCAAGTTGGTAACCTGATAACTTTGTAAGTTGGTAAGGCAGTGCACCCCAGGACTAATTAGCAGGTAAGATTAAAATCTTTTAGGCTGACCTGCTCGCTAGAGTGGGGCGGCATGTATTCCTCAGTGTCCATTCTTCTTACCAACTGTACATTACCGCGCTGGGTAGAAAATGTAATAATGCTATCTGAGGCATCTCTTGAAAAAAAGCGTTCTATTTGAGGCTCTATTCGAAAAGAAAATTTCCTTGATGAAGAACGGTCCCGACATTATTTTTCTGAACTGGAAATAATTTCATGGTGAAATTGTACCTGTAGAACTTGGTTGCCATTTCTATCCACAACAACTTCAGTTGCGTTACTTCTTCTAACATAAACGGGTCTCATCTTATCGTGTATTTCTGAAGTAATTAAAAGTTTGATTCATCACCCGATAAGTTAACTATTAAATTATTTACCGACCAATTTAATTTAACCCCCTTACAAGGTCAATTGAGATAGTATCCGTAACTCTGATATTGGTATATCAAGCTTCCATAAAGAAACTACCCGAACTCTCTATTAGTGATTACCATTACCAAGCTGCTATCAATTAGTAGCCGATTAGTGATCAATTAAACTGGTACCTATAGAGGCGTGCCTATCTTCTCCCTCCTCATCACTAGCTTCTTCCTCTTCATCGTCCGGATACACTATCTCTGTGGCACTGTCTGGGGAGTTTATTTTGTTAAATTACTTTTTTTAATGCAGCCGAAAGAGGTTTCCTCAGTTCATACGAAATCTCCAACCAATTGTCAAATACTATTGAATTGATTGATTTCAATAAACATAGAAGCGTGCCTATCTATAATAACGTACCATCTCCCTCCAGCTCCTGCTCCGGCTGCTCCTCCTCCACCTCATACTCATGTTCCTCCTCTATGTGACCCTCTACACCGTTCACCTATTAATAATTAATTAATACCCTTAATAGCCGTTAATAGGCCTACAGAAGTAAATATAATTGATTAACGGGAATAGAGATAGTTAAAACATAATAATATAATGTAGGTAAAACATATCTGTAAATTCTTCATATCGATGCAGAGTGCAGATTAGTCATGTTGTAAAAATACAATAAGTGATAAGTTTACAGACTCTCAGACTACACGATGCTGAATTTAAATCAATAATCAAATTCGTATATAAGTAATAAGGATAATAGCTTATTAAATATTAATCGATCAATTAATTAATTAACAGGTTAATTAACAGCTAAAGAAGTTAACCTGGGTAGTCTCCTCGATGATGGTTGCTACAGGTAGGGGAGGTTCCTCGGGTACTTCCTCGGCTTGTAGCTCCTGAGTCTGGGTTACTTCTTCTAACTCTCCGTTAGGTCCCCGCTGCAACAGATATTTGTAATTAATTAATTATAATAATTAAGTATTGGTTAAATAAACCTCGTTTAAGGTGGATTTCTAGTAATGTTTACAAGTTTCAGAACGGTGATTCTTCGAAAACATCATCTAATTTCAGCTATATTGATGGTAATAATTGATAATAATTATAACAAATTTTAGTAAATAATTTAACTCAATAATATATCAGGATTGTTCACAGCATTCAACTTTACCTGCACCAAGATGATCTGAGACTGAGGGTGTCTAGCAGCAATATTTGAAGGTATAATAATATTCCCACTCTCGATATATCTGACTGGCACTTCGGGCTCGTCAGGCTGTTCCACGTGGTCTTCATTTGATACCTTCACAGTTCACACATTTAGTTGATTATTAATTGACCACAATAAATGTTAATTGATCGTTAATTGAAAACTGCATAATTTGATTGTTTGGGACGAAGTGAGAGTCTCCACTCAGTGTAATATGATCAAATCACTCACAAGAGCGAAAAAAGATACCTTAACCTACAACAGACAACTGCATACTGTGATAAAAAATAAAACAAATTGTCATCATACCATGGGTTGGGGCTCATGTTGCAGTTCCTGGTCCTCGTCTACTATGTCTTCTTCCTCTTCTTCTTCTTCTTCTTCTATAATGAGGCATTAGTGAGAAGATGTCAAAATTAAAGAAATAGTTTAGAGAAGCACGCTGGATGATGAATAGGGGTAATAATGCTGAAACTAACCTTTTCATCATAAATAATCATAGTTCAGACGCGTTATAAAATGATAAGGTTAGTGTCCGCATTTCAAGACTAGAAAGCAGTAGGAAGTCTAACCCTTCTGAAATAATAATTCATTCATAATCCACAATTTCTAGAATTACAGATTATAACCATATCTATTATAACTTATATAAAAGCTGCTTGATCAATTAATTACCAATTATCATATTAGCATCCTGCTCCTGAGGCCCTCTCCTCTGCTCCATCGCTATGTGTTCAGTATCAGACCCCATGTCATCGTCCTCATGTGCTTCTTCTCTAATATCCTACAATTAATTAACAATGTCAGCATTTTCTTAAACACGTTTAAAAGTTTACAGTCCAGCAACGAAGTTCCTAAATCTCAAAGAGCATTGATGAGCAAATATAAAGGTAACTAATTAGATAATCGACTAATTGATTTTCTCAGAGCTAATTAGCAACCTCCTCATGATGATCAGGGTCTAGAGAAGCCTGTTGTTCCTCGTACTGTCTCAACACCTTCCTGATGATGTCACGTGAGCTCTCCTCAGTGTCCTCTAACCCATCTCCCTCCGCAACACCCTCGTCCTGTATTACATCGAGTAATTATACCAATTATACGGTATACACGGATAATTATACATATTATACACGGATCATTATAATACCAATTAAAAAATATACACGGATAGTTAGGTTTCAATATGAACGAAATAAGATAATTGCCATAGTCATTATGTCAGAACAGCGCATGGTGAGGGGGACTTGAAACCCCTCAAAAAGATAAAATCTAAAATAACAAACCTCTTCCTCCTCCTCCTCCTCCTCTTCCACAACTTGAAGTGGAGCTTGTTTTTTGGGAGATCGCTTAACTGCGGACTTTCGGGGTTTCATAGCTGAAAATTCGGAGTTATAAGTCAAGTCTATTTTAATTAAATATTTGATGGCGTTCGCTGTGCTTACGTGCTTACAGTGCAGATTACTTGTGAGAGATTGATCTCATATTATAACACTATTATTCTAGAACAGAGATATCATACCATTGTTCTTAGGTTTCTTCTTTCTTCTCGGCTTGTAAACCTTTGGTTCAACTTGCAAAAAGAACTTTCCTCCTGGTTTGGCCAACACGAATTCAACCTTTGTCAAGTCCAGAACCTACAAAAAATAAAATAGTGAGGGATATTTCTGACCAAATGAATTTAAATACAAATTGAGATATTTAGACCGGACAATATTTGTGTCAACTCTTTATTATATTATGTCTTTATATTATAAAACATCCACACAATATGGCATTTTAAGCGGCTTCAAAAGAGGGTTTATGAGGGCCAGTGATTGGTTCTGATGGTTTTCAGGGATAGTTCTTGACCCAAAGAAGAAATTTCGGTCAAAGAAATCAGAATTTTTAAAATGGTCTTTATTTTTAAGCACATTTTTCAGATATAATAATGCAGTTTCTTGTTCATTGCACAACTAATTTCCGCTAATTTAACACAAAAAGTGGAAACATTGCAAATAAGTTTAGCACCGGTTATAAAAATACTCAATATTACTCTCACCTCAGTAGCATTATCAGCATACAGTATAAGGAAGTTCCCATCGTCAGTGATACTCTCTACAGTCCCAAAATACCATCCTGGAGCTTCTTCTGATCCTTCGTCTTCTACCCATTTAATGTACAAACACTCTTTAACTCCTGATGTGAGATGTTTTATTAATTAAATTGTAAGATATTGATTTATGACTGAAATTGACAGTCATAAATCATGGTATTATATAATATGTGCCTCGATTGTTTTAGGCAAAGAAATTGTGAACATGTGTACGAGACCCAGTTAACCTGGGCCAATATACCCGACTGATAAATTCATAAAATTTGAAAATAATCTGTAGTTCTTAGTAGTACTTACTGGGATACTCATCGCCCAGGGTGGGATGACATTCACTCAGGTCACTCATATCAGAAGTGGAGGGTTGTAGATCAGCGTCAGTGACATCAAACTGCTCCATTTGCATTGCCAGAATGTTGGGGTTCTGAGACACACCCGGGCGGTTTGGGTCCTCATAGTCGTCAGTCCACTCCCTGCAAATATTGATACATTTGATCTCTGATTGTAACATGACGTTGTGATCAAAGTAAAATATCAGAATAAATTAGAATTCGGATGATGCATTCAATGCGTATTAAGACACAACTTATTAATTCATTATAATATATTGAATCGATTATGAAATTATATGATCAGAGCATCCTACATGACATTTCCTACTTTCAAAATAAATCTTACCGTTCAGACCAGTTGTTTTGTCGTTCCACCTCATCACCTTCCATGATCTCTTCGGGAAGACCATGATCCATGTTTCTACACTTTCCTAAAACTAAATAATAATGTCAATAATTCCGCACTTGACTCTTAACATATTATATAAGAAAAGAATATAGTTAATAAAAGCAACAATCAACATGCATTGTGCTTTTATTCTTCTCGTAATAGTGGTTATTACATTTTGCGTGAAGCAATTAACAAATCCTGCAGAACTTAAACATGAGACAGTGCACTTTTTTCCTACATTAATAAGACACAATTATTGTATCATATTGAGCAGCAAGTAGCGATTTAACAAAGGTTGTTGTACTCCAATAATCATTTATTATGGCAGAAACATAGTTCCGCTAGGCCAATATATTTCAATGCTTTCTACTGCTATTTACCAATCCACATACTAACTCAAATTCTATACGAAAAATAGACCTCGAATTAAACTTCCTTCTTTAAGAAAATCGCACAAAGAGAGCACAAATTTACTGTTGGACTAATTAAGTGGGGTGTAAATTTCATGTATTAATGTATGGAAAAATCTGTGTAATGTCTCCTCGGTCAACTCAGCCAAATGATCAGAAAAGTGAGGGTGGAATTAGGAGGGGCCAGTGGCATAACAAAGAGCCCCGCTGACCCCGGCGTGCGGGGGGTGCCATCTTAGGGTGGTGCCAAATCATCGTTCGAATGTGGGACAATTGAGAAACTGTGCGTTTTGCTTTAGAGACACATTTCTTTAAAGATTTTAATGGTGTACCCTATAAAATCACCTAAATTATCCAATTTTACGTTCCTACTTTAAGAGGGGGACGTTACGCCACTGGGAAGTGGGAGGGGCCCTGGCATGAGACCAAGAATCTTCTTAGGATACCCCTTCAGTACATACATATATTGGAAATACAATAAAATTAATGGGGTTTCAATTAATGGTTAGATATATCGAAGATTATGATTTACTTTAATATCGACAAAAGCTTAATTTCACATTCATCTGTGTAACAAACTGCACAATTTTGTAATTAAAATCAGAAAAATTGCTTTCAAACATAACTTTAAACATATGCGGAGATAATTTCTAGATTATATATTATATAAGCAATCATTGATCATACCTCGTTAGTGAACTTATAATATAAAAGTGGAAGTAAACTGACATTTTCTACCAGTGAATACACTGGTTTGTAATAAAGTTTGACTGATCACAACAAGTTTAACAGTTGTATAAGAACATTCCTGGAAATTTTAAAGTTCCTGTCCCGTGTGAGTACGTTGGTGTTTATTAAGACTTGATTTAACAGAGCAAGTATATGAACATTCCTTGCACTTGTAGGGTTTCTTTCCCGTGTGAGTACGTATGTGCACCAAAAGATAAGATTTGACAGAGCAAGCATATGAACATTCCTTACACTTGTAGGGTTTCTCTCCCATATGAGTACATTGGTGTCTAATAAGATTAGATTTATCAGAGCAAGTATATGAACATTCCTTGCACTTGTAGGGTTTCTCTCCCGTGTGAGTACGTTGGTGTCTGACAAAACTAAATTTAACAGAGCAAGTATATGAACATTCGTTGCACTTGTAGGGTTTCTCTCCTGTGTGAATCCTCATTATATGTCTAATGAGATCACCTTTCCGAGCACTACAAAATGAACATTGGTTACACTTGTAGGGTTTCTCTCCCGTGTGAGTACGTTGGTGTCTGATAAGACTTGATTTATCAGAGCAAGAATATGAACATTGGTTACACTTGTAGGGTTTCTCTCCCGTGTGAATGCATTTAAAATGTTTCACAAGATCACTGTTCTCATTACAGGTATAAGAACAATCGTCACATTTAAAAGCTTTCCCAACAGCAGAAGTATTTTCTTTGCCCAACCTGACTGATGATTGTATAGAATTTAACAAGACATTTCTAGTAGACATATCATTGATTGTTTCACCATGATGTTCTCTGATATGTTCCACAAAGAACTCATCATAAAGGAAGTGAGCTTCACATTTCGGACAAATGAAACCATGTGATATTCCAGTCACTTCCTCTTGTTCAGTTTTTATTTCCTTTTTGATCGGAATTAAATGTATGTTACTCTTTACTTTAACAGTAACTGTAGAGGATCTTTTACTTCGTGTTAACATTACAAACTTTCCTGGATTAATAACTGATTAATAACATCAAAATACACAAACTTTCCCATTTTAAATATCTACATATTTAATTAACAATGGGTATAAATTTGTACATCTACATCATGGTGTACTGCAAACTATGTTAAACAATAATCTCAGAATGTGTGTCTGTCTGTCTCTCTTTGTGTCTGTGTCTGTCTGTGCGTGTGTAATTTCTCAAGATGTGTGTTTGTGTGTTCGTTTGTTCATTTGTGTGTAATTTCCGAACGGTTTTAAAAACGAAACCTCGCAAACCAGCTGGTCCTGTCACTAGTCTACGACCTCTATGTCTATCAAACGGTGCTCGTAAGATATTATCCATGATTGTACTGAAGAGAATTGAAGACAAATCATGGATACAATCGGCAAGTCAGTTACTACCCTGCTCAAACCAGAGATCCTAGCAGCCACTGCACCACTTCAAGCGTCAGCAGGCCTAGAAGGTGGAGTAGAAGCTGCTATTCATGCTCTTAGAACCATGTATGAAGATGAAGACACTCATGGTATCCTTCTTGTTGATGCAGATAATGCCTTCAACCGTTTAAACCGGAAAGTTGCCCTCCACAACACAAGTGTGATGTGTCCCGAGCTGTATAAATATCTTGTCAATACCTACAGAAAAGCAGCGAAATTGTACATGTACAATTTTGTATACCAAACTCCAAGGGTTTGTTTATTTTATCCCAAGAAGGTACTACTCAGGGGGACAACTGTGCTTCTGCATTTTACTCCTGTAGCCTGATGCCCCTTCTGGACAAACTCCCCACAGAGCCACCAGATATTTCTCCTGGGGTCTTTGAGAACACAAAACCACCCCAGAGGCTTGTCATGAACATAATATCGAATCTACCTCTGTGATCACATCTTTCTGTGGGTGCAAAAAGAATATATATATATATGGGCATATTTCAAAAATATGACTACAAAGGAAGGAGGGGCAGACCTCGTTCAAATTTATTTGATTTATTATTAAAAGACATTATGACAAAACAAATTATTGTGATTGTAAATAAAAGATTTAGTTTAAGTAATTTCAACGATTTAGTGTACAAAGCTCATGATAGACGTCTTTGGAGAAGTTATGGGTGAGTCGAGACTACTCGGCCACTCGATTTTATGATTTAATTTCTATTATCTTGTGTTTGCTGTAAATAGTTGATTAATAATATTTCAAAACTGGTTCCACTTGGAGGAAATTTCAGAAATGCTTTTATCAATCCAATTTTGGAAATTTTAGAATGTTTGAACTTTATACTTTGAAAATCTGCAATATTGGAGACATCAATCTACTCTATCATGAAAAAATAGCTCATTCTATCATCGACACTAAAACAATCCTCAAAAGTGTGCTCTACTTCATAACGTCTCTAGATTAGGCCTTTGCTTGAACTAAACCCAAATTTTGTGTGTTAGTATATGAGATTTCATTTTTACAGACTGATATAAAGCCCAATCAAGGAGAATGAGCTAACATGGGGAAAATGTGGTTTAAAAATTTTTGTCACTCCGTAACAAAAAAGTGTCAAAAAGTTATCTATTCTCTTAACTACACGCCTATTGCATTCCATATTTTCTGAAGTATCTCAGTGACCTTACACTAAGATTTTCCAACATTTTCGATTGATAACATTATAATTTAAGAGGAGATATGATGAGCCAAACTTTGGTCACTCCGTAACGCTGTGTTACGGAGTGACAAATTCAAGGGACATTGTCACTCCGTAACGAATTTTTTTCCCTGCTCTTGCCGAAGGCAAAAAGATCGTAGGGAATAAGTAATCGGGTTTGGATATATGAGGTGGCCCGACGGTCCTACGTTGACGACAAAAGTCTGCTCCTTCGCAATATAGACCACTCCCCTATAATTATGTGTATAAAAGGAGGCAATTTTGCGCGCGCGACGCCAGCTATGTGTTAATTAATTACAGGCATAGCAACCAGTTTTAGGTGCTTGACGACTGTTACACAGGTTTCCATCGGGTGACAATTTACTCTAATTCATTAATATAGCATGTTAGTCATCTGAGCGGATCAATCATCAATATAAGTGTTTAGTTATTTTGTTGAAACAAGCTTAATAAATTACCGAGTGATAAAATTCAGCAAGTCGAAACAAATTAAATTATTATATCAGCTGATAAACTCGTGGCCGATTATTTAACAGTTGATCGAAACTGAATGGTAAAAAGCGATTACATATTTATGAAATGGACTATGAATGTCAACAAATCGACTTCAAACACCGCTGTGTTTATTTAAGAACAGATGTTAATTAACATTTACATTCAAGAAGCAACTAAGATCAAGATTGCAACTAAGATCAAGATGGTGCTGTAGAGTGTAGATCAATATGGTGCTGTAGATGTGTCGAGTAAGCATCAAAATGTATTAGTTTATGTTAGATACAAATAATAACTAAGATGAGACAGAATATTTTATTACAGTCAATAAAGTTGGCATACGATGCAGTAATATGACGTGACATGATCATACGCATTGTTAACACGAAACAAAACCGCGCAACATATGAAATGATCTACAACCAAACCACATTACATATAGATCGACGGCGACACCTATGACCTAAGATGCGCGCAGAATTTTCAAGTTCTGCACGCCTAATATAATGAAAACGATTATCACGTGCGCCTAACACCACTCTGGGATACAATAAAGTAGAACAATTACATTGTAGACAGTAGGGAAATTTAATCGTGCGTGGTGTTACCGCGGCGAAATTCTTGTTTTTATTGACATTGGACACATACTGTCCAATCAGGTTGTCATAAATACACCAAAGGAGTTTGCAACCTATGCTGACAGTCTTCTCAAGTCAATCAATGTCGTGTATGTTGGAGATCTAGCCTCAGGTATGGAAGAGGAGTGCAGAAGGAAAGCAAGACCAGTT